GTCGGTAATAGCTTGTCGAGCAAAGGGGTGCGCGGCAAAGCGTGAGTTTGTGATGAGACGGTCAATGTGAGCTTGGAGTGCGCTTGCAACGACGTTGGTCGCTAACCGTCCAACACCAAGCTTTGTCAGAGCAGCGCTGGAACTGTCGAGCTTGATTCGCCAGATCTGGTCCTCTCCATCAATGTCTGCTTTTACAAGGTTGCTCAGAGGATCGGTTTCTGGGAAAGGAACGTTGAGGTCATCAAAAGGCCTGTTCCAGTAGCGTTGTGCAAGCAAGTTGAGTACTTGTTGGTCTAGCTCGTGCTTGAGTAGGTCCCGAACTTGTTGGCGACCGAACTGTTCTGTAAAGCCGCGGAATGAGTGCTTGAATGCGTCGAGTGATTCGGCCAGGTACGACTCAGCGCTGATAGGTCGTTCATTGTACTGAACCTTGTACTCGTACCTTGCCTCTTCGAGCTCTCTCTGAATAGCCTCACTAGTCGTCTTAAGACTGCCAGCCATGGTTTGTTCAAGCACATGCATAAGCTTCTTCTTGAGATTCTGAGTACCCACAGCGAGCTCTGGCCGTTCAGAGAACTCTGGGTGTGATGAGAAGTATGCATTCTCGTTCTTTGTGATGGCGTTGGAGATGTTGCCGTTGCCACGGCTGAAGAGCTTAGAACCACCTGCACCAGGGGGTACACGGCACACGACTCCAACGTATCCTAGACGGAGAGCATACTTTTGGTCGTTAAGCAGGCTAGCGCCGCGGTCGGCATCTACAAGATCCATCTTGGTAATAACGCCAATGGTCCTCTCGCCACGGGGGTCCACTCTTCTCGATGCTCGTAGCGCAGTGCTGTTGGCCAGATCCACGTCGGCTGCTGAGATGGCGAGAATGACGTTGGGTGCCCTGATGTACTTGTCGCAAAGCTGTGCAATCTTCTCCTTGAGCTGCGGGGGCTGGTCCCGGCCAACGACCTGGATGTATCCTGGAAGGTCGATCAAGGAGAGATCTGGCACGTTTGGCGAGTAAATCCTGAGCTGGATGGGGTCATCGGACACACAGTCGCTAGCTGGTACAGCCAGATTGAGGTCTGTCAGTGTCTTCTGGACCTGACCAAAGTCCGTCACCTTGCCTAGTCCAATGGCGGGGAACTCGCAGTATTCTGCACGCGCATCAGGGGTATTGACGAGCGTCAGCTCAATGGGTCGACGGGTAACCATATTGTGTCCCTTGGGGAGGAATTCATGGCCAACGATAGCCTCGAGGACTGAACTCTTTCCGGAGGACTGTGATCCAATGACGACAATGGACGGCAGTGTGAGTGATTCGGATTGTCCCACAGTCTGTAGCAGTCCACGTATCTCAATCATCTTCTTGGTGAGCATCATCATTTGCTCATCCCGCGCAATCTTTTCTCCTTGCTGTCTGTCCTCATCGTCATCGTCATCTTGTGAGTACCCAAAAGCAGCAGCAGCTGATGCGCCGGCCGCGGCAGTGCCAGAGCCACCCTGTTTGGGCTCCTCCGGACCTCTACCACTACCATTGCCTCCTGAACCACCTGCCTCATCTTTGGCAAGAAGCTTTTGTAGCCATTCCGGGTATTGTACGTTCTCAAGTTCGTCCTTGGTCGACTTGAACCCCTTTTCTATCTGATCGAAGAATCCATTTGCCGTATTAATTGCCCCACCAGCCAACTCGCTGGCGCCATCTTTGGTGCGGTGGAAGAGGTCGAGTGCAAAGGTGCCTGCCTGGCCTGCCTGGTACTGGATATACGAGACACCGGCGATGATAGCCCCTCCGGTGGCGGCACCCACAGTCGCAAACTTGCCCACGAGTTTGGGTATCACTCTTGCAAAAGATATCGATCGCGTGGCGGGGACATTGTGCAGTGCGTAGCTACCGAGGGGCCATGGCCGGCGCTTCACAAGCCTGAGCGCGGCTTCATTTCGCAAGAGTCCGCCGGCGGGGAGCGAATGTGTAGTGTAGAAGCGTGGAGTGAGGAGCGGTGAACGGCGTGCGAGGGGGGCAAGGCGGCCCGCAACGAGCCTGCCGCTCATGTTTGCGACGACGAGAGGGCGAGGATAGGGATTTGGTGTAGCATAGGATCTGGCGTCTTGCTATCACACGCGGTTGGCAACGTTGCACGCTCTCGAAGAGGCGGCTATGCACGTCACACTCGACTTTCGGTGCGCTGAGCAAAGGTGCTTGGGCCATGCGCCCGCGTGGGGCACCTCCAGGGCTCCCCTCCACTCGTCTCGCCAACTCAAGACGGACAACACATGGACTAGACAGCGCAACATGTCGGTTGAATGCCTTCTGCTATCTGGCTGTTGTCTAGTTGTCCATTCCCCATGCACGTCTCACTTCAAGCACAACAGCGCTCTCTCCCCAAAGAGCCTCGGCACTGAGTCCTCTTCCTTGATCATGTCCCTCAACCAATTCCTTGAGCCCTCAACCTCCCTACTTGCAAACTTGACCAGCACAAAGCCCCTGACATTTGCCGCACTCCATATCAGACCATCCGCCTTCTCTCTCTGCTGCCTCGTATGCCGCCTTTGCTCGTGTGGCAGAAGCTCAGGCTGCACGCTGTCACCCCAATTTCTACCACCAATACGCGGCAGTGCCTCGAATTCATCCAAGAAGAACTTGGAAAGTGACGAGAACACTGGTCCTCGAATAATCATGGTGCCGAAAACAGAGTAATTGTCCATGCGTGAGGCGAGCGGCATCCCCGTTCTGCCATGTTTGTCTAGAATCAGATTATCCCGTACAAGAAGCCTCTTCTTCCCTGCCTCGTCCAACGTCCACACTTCATTCCGGCTCTTGTACTCGAAAATGTCCCAGTTCTCACCCCGTGCAGAGCGCCCGCTCGTGACCCAGTCGCATACGCACAAGTTGCCTTGTCCTTTATCGAGATGGTAGATCTGAGATTGGGAAAAGGCTGTGTGGGCAAATGGCTGCACCGGGTCTGGAAGATAGACCAGGGCAGCATCATGCTTCAGATATACTGTCATATGTTGTCGGGAGACCAGATCTGGACTGAGTGTCTTGAAGATCTTGGTCGAGCCTTGGGTTAACAGGATAAGCCGAGCCTTGTCATCCAATTTGACTTCCAAGTCGATACTGTCCCCAGCGACAATGCCACCGCCGTAGGTGAGTAGGAAGACTGTATGTATAAGGCCTGAATTTGGAGGCCTGGTCTCGTTGTTTTTCTGATCGTCATGGCTTGGTGGTGGCAGAGGGTCTGGCGCGACTAGCTTAAGTGGGTATTGATACGAGACTGTCCCGAGAACAGGCTTGTCTTCGGACAACAGGTTGATGATGATGGATCCATGGCCGGGCTTAGAAGTAGAGGCACCAAAAGGTGAGTTGAAGACCATGGCGCGTTGCTAGCGGAGTTCAAGATGTACCATCATCACTCTCATATATGATTGCGAGAAACGAACTCCACTCCCACGCTCTGCAGTAATCCTGAAGTAGGATTCAAACAGCGCTTGTTTTTAGTTTTTTTTCTCTTTAGTGAAAGCCTCTCCAGTAAGCGCAAAGAGGGTGTAAAGTAGTTGTGTTCTATACGTGGGGTAGTGTCTAGCTAGGTTTTGGATATCGATAAGTAACATCACGTGAACCCTCTCAAACCTCAGCACTAGCCTTCAGACACTCATGACGTGCGCATATAGAAGACCGAAATAATGATATTCTAGCACACAAGGCCATTTGAAACCGGAAATTAGGATACCGAGACCATCCGCTGTTTTCCGGTGGGTTCGTTTTGTTGGATTTTGCTTCCCAAGACATCGTAAAACCCCCGTTTTGGTAACCAAAATCGGAAAACTAACATATGTACTTGACGGGTGAGTTTGGTGGTAACATGACTGGATGATGGGTGGAAGAGCAGTCTCTTATCTGGTAGATTCTGGGTCTTAGTTAGAGAGGCTCGACATTAACAGAAGGAGTGTCGAATTGTGCTTCATCTAGTGTACATGCTGGAGAACCGAAGCTTGGCTAGAAAACGCCTAATCGAGACGACGGAATGTACATATTTCTAATATTTTGTCTTCCCAAGAAGATTGATAACTTCTTACACAATCGACGATCATTTGCGTTACTCTAACAAAACCACTTCCTTTCTCGCCCCTGCTTCTCTCCACGCATATTTGTATATCCTACCAAGACCTACACGCTCCATAACCCTTACATTACCTTTTGGGTTTAGTTCCTCTACAAATATGATATTATAGAGTGGATAGCCTAGAATGTCTGGCCTTGTCTCGTTACCCAAGTACTGCGCTTCCGACAATAGGATCGCGGTCACGAAATTTGCGCCTTTTGTATTGTAACCGGCATCGAACTTCACGGTACCGGCTCTTGGATGCGTTGCGGTATTGATCCAGTGTTCTCGGGACACAACTGTTTTGATTTGCAGATCTGGTTGGCTTACCTCGGCTTTTGATGCTGTTTCGGTGGGTTCAGTATCGTGAAAATTGATGATGCAGTGTAAACCCAGAAGTACCATATATAGTCACGTGGTTATTCACTAANTAATAATGCTGTATTTAAACTTGCTCCTATCATGATACACATCACAATACACAATACTTCCTACACTCTCAACTGCTTACATGCAGTGCTCATCGCCAGCACGTTTGGTCGATGTCCGGACTTTCCAGCAATCGCTACCTAACTCTAGTTCCACTAACTCCGTGTGTACAACAAGATGTTGTTCTTCCAACTGGTGAAGTGGTATATCTAGTCTCGGTTTTGGTGCTGGTCTGGCGTCCGCTGAGTCCCAGTCTCTGAATCCTCTAGCACTCATGTTGGACATGCCAAAGAGCCCCAGTTCCTGTAGGGAGAAACTATGAAGTCTTCTCTGGACACCATACAGCGTGCCTTTGCGAGGACGAATGCGCTCTTCACCGCACTTGCGGTACCGTTGAACGATGCCGGAGTTCAAGACCAAGACGTCAAAGGGTTGATCATAACGAACTCGTGCGCCTTTACTGCCAGATCCTAAAGGGTTCTGTGCAGCTTCCCAGCCTGCCCACGTCCAGCTTGGCGGACATCTCCTGTCGGAGTCGCTTTGACGGCGGCGCATAGGCTCATCTGATTGCCACAAGAGTGCAACATCCAAGAAGTGGCATGGCAATCCGTTTCGGAACGGTGAGTTGAGAAATCCTGGGCCACTAAGAATGCTTGCGAGACCATCAAACGCATTAAGGATGTCGTAGCTCTTCCCTATGGTTCTTCTACCCAGATCTTCTACTGCCTCGATATACTGGTGCATTGACGGTAGTCTCATCAGTCTCACACTCCCATCCTCTCGTGTAGTCTGTAATCCTGCTGGTGAGATATCATCGCTAAGAGATGGCAAGGGTGTGAGTCTAAGCCATGGAAACGAAATCAACGACCTATCTCCGTCCAGTGCATTAACATCCTCCCTCCATGTTCCTCCCCGGCAATGCCATACTGCAAATCCAGCTGCAAAGATTAGCATCCTCCTAGACAGTAGTTTCTCTTGGAAATACCACGCCCGCTCCTCCCAAGCTTCATAGTTGAGCTCCATGCGCGTGGGCAGCACCATCCGGGCATTTTTGATAATCCCGTCTTCCATGAGCTGTTTCCCACGGCTGGGATGGCCATGGAGTCCTCTCAATCCTTCATCAGCATGCATACTGTCTCCAGCAACGATGGTAAAAAGGGCACGGTTATATACATGACCCATGCGCTGTATATTGGCGTGCATGACTTTTTCGTCACCCTCTTGAGGAACGCAGAGCTGATCGACCCACATGAATCTTTCGCCTATGGCTTGAACGACCTCGATGGCGTGTTTGATGGTTTTTGGTATATGTACACCTTCGGCCTCGAGACTACGTGCCCTTGACAACGCGACTTTGTTAGTTGAAGTCAGGTGTGTGTATGAGGTTGGGCGAGTCCATGTTGTTTTATGCATTTTCTCATTGTGGTAGTAAGGTCGCCCTTTATCGGTTTTGTACTCTTTCCAGCCCTTCAGTAGTGGTAGAATTCCCCACCTGTAGCTCAAAGCTACGTACCTTAGGTCGGAGCGTAAGCGGACCATGTCAGAGAAATTCATCTCCATGATACACATCTTACGCACGTCAACAAGTCGAAATATGGCGGCCTCATCCCATTCTGGAGCTGATACAGAATTGTTCACTGAATCGCTCAATAATTCTCCACAATTGTGCTTCGATGTGCATGCCTCAACGCAGTGCCTGAAGAACGGGACGTCGATTCGGGGACCAATCATTTGCCCATACCAAATCTGCTGCTTTCTTATACGTGGACTGCTGGAATTTTCGAAACGCAGACTGAAATGGCATATTTCCTTTAAAGGTGCGAGGGGTGCTCGTCCATGCCCATAGACACGTACACTCAAGGCTCCTCTTTTCTCTTCGTATTTCCGATAAGTTCTGAGCATGAAAATGCAGGGCAACCGCTTCCGCTTTTTGCTCTGTATTAGGGCTAGCTGTCCCATCGTCCACTGAGCGGTTGCCATCCCCTTCTGCAAGTTTTCGCTTTTTTGATTCGTGACTAAATTGATAATCGCGAGGCTTGCGCTAGCTGCAGCTATTGAATCGGCTGCCGTGTCTCTGGAATTATACATATCCTCAAGATCGTTCGTGTTGAGGCTCTTGGTGTTAATGTCGCGATCTTCCGCCTCTAGAAAGAGTGTCTTCGCTTGCTGCAGTGTCGAGCTGGCAGCTTGTTGTCGGTCGACAGCGTATCCGAATGGCCACAGCCCAGCGCCTCCCACCCATTCTCGTTTCCAGTATTTGTTTTCCTTGATCCAATCTGAGAAACTCCTCATGTTTTTGTAGTTCTTGCTGTCTGGTAGATAATTCTGAATATGTTGTGCCTTAAGCAAATCGTATTCTGGCTCGCAAATGCTCTGAAAAAGGAGATTACAGAATTTGCAAAAAGTGCGATTTTTTAGGATGCTGGAGAGGCTCATATAGAATATAAGCGCATCCTGTGCTGGACTGATGCGGTCTGTTCCCTCACCATCCTCCTCGTCATTGCCTGGTAGGCACTCCGCGAATGGTATCTTCTTGCAGGCTGTGCAGAGATTTTCCGTCTGCAAACTAGCCTCATGCTTCAACACATTCAGTGCATCAGAAAAGCCCGATGCGAACCTTTGGGCACCGCGCCGCATACTCGAAGCTTGTGTCGAAACAAAACCCATATCATACTTCTTGTCTTCGCCTTCTCCCTTTATTGATGCCATAGAGTCATCATCTTCGTAGTCCACAGAAGAGCCGTTTGACGTACGGCCGGCTGGAAACGGATCGTTTGAAGCCATGCTGAAATCGTTAAATGCGTTAATCGTGCGCTGAGAAGATCAAAGAAGAGATTCATATTACCTGTTCTTGTAGAACTTCTCCTTTGACCATGTTTTTAACATCCAATGGAGTGTGGGGGCGAGACCATCAGACACCAGAAATCAGGCATCAGGCATCAGGCGTAAGGCTGTGGCTCGGCGGCCGTGAGATTCAAGGCTATTCTCGAGTGGCACAAGCCCACACAGCCTTCTCTGCTCTGGACCTATAGAAACTTTACGTTAAAGTGCAACAATCTGAATTCTCCGTCGATGATTGTCCTTTGATGAGGATCTCGATGGCATCAGATCGGCAGTCTGATTCTGCAGTTCAGAAGAAGGCATAGATTAAAGCAAACTGTCTAACATGAATGACCAAGCGTTACGATAAGGCACGATGGCGTAGCTAGCAAGGCTGAGCGATGGATCCTTGAACGAAGAGGGGAGATTCCCCATGGCTTACACGATACCCAAGTATACGCATTAGAGGCTATGAGCAGTCCATATGCTTATGAGCCAGGGAGCATTCGAGCCGAGAACACGCCCCGGTTTGGAGCTGTCTGCATGAGGCTATCATGACGCTCATCTTATTGGTGGCGGTACGCCTCTTTCGTAATAGTAAGAGAGTGATCAGTACTCAGGCTATATTCTTGAGTTAGAGGTGTATGTACACAGTAAGAATAGCGTGTTCCGTCCGCGGGGTAGTGTCAAGTTAGGTTAGGTTATCGATACCATCACGTGAACTCTTTTGAATAAGTATCGAGCCAAGTCCGGAAACCTTCAACTCGTCCAAATATATACAACTTAGTTTCAGTATTCTGGAATAGTCATTGGCCCTACGAACGCAAGGGGTCGGTTTGGAGAAAAGGGTGAGCAGACAAAGAGATAACCCTGGAGTAAGCAAGACTTGCAGATATCGATGAAATTGCTGTATAAATGCCCTTGACATGCATCGTGAGGACATGAGGAAAGTCGAGGTGATATGCATATATTATTACTTCTAGTGGTATTACAGTATTTGAAGTAGTCTCCGCAGGCTTTGACTACCCAGCCAAGCCTGGCCTAGAGATATTACATCGTCTCAAATGCTTATTTATTAGGTGCGACATGAACGAAGCCTCAAGTTCTTGCCTTTCTTCGGCCTACATCGCCCATACCTCTTGACTTGTTGCTGCGGTTCATTGGCTCTCGTCACACCAAACCTGGGGGGCGACGCAGGCGCTCCACCCACTGGCTGGCTTGTGGCAGGAAGCCTCCTCGGTGGCACCAAAGAAGTAGGCAAAAGTCTTCGCCTAAGACTACCACGCCCTGCCTCGACAAAGGTTTGCTCCCACTCTGCAGTCGTAGGGTCACACACGTTCGGGTCTTGTGTCTGTGGGAGACACAATTGGTATGTTTTGGTGACGCCGCAGATGGTCGCTGGGACAGGTTCGCATCGCTGGACACGGGGAAATGCACAGCCTCCAGTGGGTAAGCAGTAGTCGATGGTGAAGCTCTGTGCAGGCGTCCCTACGTTCTGCGGACCACCCGACTCATCGAGGTTCTCATCGTCTATTGAAGCATCAGGCTGGGCGACGCTGAGACTAAGTGGAGCTGGTGCGGCTGGCGCAGGTCCTGGCGCAGTCTTGTTTGAGTTCGAAAAGCCCGTGGAGCCTGAGACACACTTTGAAGTGTCGTCAAAGGTGGCTGTGACAGCATCAGACCACAAGCGGGTGTAGTTGAACGCATTTGCTAGGGTATAGAAGATGCGGCAATCGGCGGGTTCGTATTTGAATTGGAGCGGCTCTGTATCGTTGGGTCGGACCTGGTCCCTGAGGTTGATGCCAAGGGCTGCTGTGAAGACACCAGAATCTCGGAAGCCATCATCGGAGAGCTGAGGAACCGTGGCCAATGTTGCGTTATCAACATTGAACTCAGGAATAGAGATGAGTCCGAGGTCATAGTCGATTTGGTCGGCGGAGTGAATCGCGGCGCCACGATTTCCTAAAGCAATGTGCGTCAGTGGTGATATAGCGGCACGTTTTAGCACTCTTGAACATACCTCCTACAGCTTGCATAGGACCGGTGGCTGGAAGTCCACCTACTGCAATGGTTCGAACGCCGACCTGCTTGAACATCTCGACTAGAAGAGCGCATGTGGATGAACAAGCTCCATCTGTCAACTAGTACTTGTTAGCCTTCGTAATTGACCATGAGTCGTAATACTTACTACAACAATATTCTCAGCCGCGAATGGTGGCGTCGTGTACCCCAGGGGATTGTCAGGAGAATAACCCAATGGCACCCAGCCTTCGAATAAAGCTGAACTGAACTCGGAGTTCGAAAGATTGTAACGCTCCTAAGCTCTGTTAGATATACCTATTGCATAAGACTTGGCTGGCAACATACTGTGAGCGAGAAGGAATCGCCCTTTTCCTGCACAGGTCCTGTGTATTCAGCCCAGCTAGTGAAGTTTTGGCCCGTTGCAGCGTTGAGTCTGGGAGTAATCACCCATTCAGCAGCCAGAAGGTACTCATAGTCAGGATCGCTAGGATTAAGACTATCGAAGTACGATGTGTATGCTCCGCCTATAATGCCCCCGAGATGATGATTTCGGCGCCTGCTTCCTGCAAAAGGATCCGCGTTCGGAAAAAATCTCTTGAAGGTGCTAAAGGCAAGTTCCACAGTACCACCGGTGTTCTGTTGAAGGTCTATCACAACTCTCTTCAAGCCTTGTTGGGTTGTATTGCCGATGAAGGCTGATACAGCACCGCTGAAGTCCTCGATCGAGTCGGAGTATTGTGAAAACGAAGGGATGCTGAGTGTCGCAGCATCAACCTGTGGTAGGAAGTAGCCGGAAACAACACCATCGGTGCGAACTGCGAGACCCTCTTGTCGAACATCAGGATTGGGATATGCTCCGTTGGATTTGGTAAACCAAGACTGCTCAGGTGTAGGCACAACAACAGGTTCAGTCGTGTTCTCGGCATCTTGACCGGGATCATATGCTGCGTTGTAAAAGCTTCCGCTCGAGTCATATGAGGCGGGCAAGAAGTTCAGAACGAAGTAGTTGTAGAGATCTCCGCCAGTCGTGAGTGGACCTGTCTTGTACGGCTCATTCCAGAGCGCAAGCCAGTAATCAAGGTATTCGGTCCCATTCTCCATGACCAACTCAATCTCGTCTCCTGGATAGAAGCGTACGCCACTGTCCCAGATACCACCGGATCCCTGAATGGCCAGGGCAGGTGTGTAAAACACTTGGTTCCAGTCGGCGTTTGGTTCTATACCACCAACGGCATTGATGCTCGCCAATTTTGTGACGTACTCGACAGCATCCATGTCATTGATTTTAGCAATTGAAGAAGGCGTCCAACCTTCGTCTCGGCTTCTTACTAGGTCGTCTGTGAGGTAAAGCTTCGGTAGACTTGCGTCGTCCGGTGAGGCAGCGGTGATAGAATACGGCGCGAGGAAGGAGAAAGCCGCCATAATGCCGCCTCTCAGATACAGGTGGCCATCATGAGCGCTGTCCA